CAATATAACAAAAACTAATATATATATATATATATATATATATATATATATATATAGGAACCATATCTTCCTATATGCATATAAGCATCTTCCTATATAAACATATTATCCCTATTTTTATTTTACTCCTCCAAAGTTCAAGGATTAATTTCTTCGTGTTATTGTGGAACTGGTCAAGATAAACATTGTAGTAATAATCCATATGGTCTTTATTTCCCCAAATACTTTCAGTCTCATCCAAGATCATCTTCAGGGGTGAACTGCTAAGACAAACTATTAATTTAAGTTATGAGTATGTGATCGTGAACGCTATAAAATTCAAAAGATTTTTATGTAAGGCAGGTAGCTTACTTTACATAATTTGTTAATTAAAATTAAATTACTTGTTTTAAAATATTATTTTAATTGTGGTTTTTAACAATTACGATTTAGATATTTTAATATTTTATATTGCTCTTATAAACATTTACTTTTTATATATATATAAAGGGCTTCCCGAATTTGAAGTCTTTGTTATTTTTTATTTTCTTAGTGGAGTATAGTTGTATTGTCGATTAATATTTCTCTAAATCCTGAATGTCGACAGGAATATTCCTTTAAATGTTGCAAGATTGAACTATAATAATTCAAATGAACATAAAGAAGTAATGGATATTTTAATTTATTAATTTGACAGTTTTCATCACTTTAAACGTTATTATTAGTAGATACGTATTTTCGTCTACCGGCTTAGATATTCGAGAAATCTTATTAAAGAAAATATGCGGTATCCACTAAAAATAACGTTTAATTCAAATATTAAATTATATATATATATATATATATATATATATATATATATATATATATATATATATCTTGGTAATTCGTATGAATAATCTCAAGGAGGATGTAATCCTGAGAGCTCAATGTTAATTCAGAGCGAATAATTTAATTTAAAGAAAAACAGACCACTTTAAGGCTCCATTGTAATAATTTATTTCACCAGAGACTTTTTTTCCCTGGATCTTCAAACATCACTTTCAAAAGGTGAAACGAAAAATGAAATTAAAATTTACACTTTTGACGGGCAGTATTAAGCTTAAATGAATTGATATAGAAGGTAGCGAGGGATGGTGTGAGAGACATGGTCGAGTTTAGAAAGGGAGGGGAGAGTATAAAAATTTATTTTTATATTTCTTAATATTGAGAAAGGATGGGTTAAGGATCAGACATTAACCTATTTAATCGGTCAACTCAACGGAAATGATATGGGAAAGGAAAAGGAGAAAAAAGGGGGAAGTAAAGAGAAAAGAGATGTACTTATGTTTTTCGGAGGAAAAAGAGGGGTGATATAGTTTTAGCAATTTAGATAAAAACAGATTTTAACGTTTGATAGTAATTTAAATGTTTATATATTTATTTGATAGTAATTTAAATGTTTATATATTTGTATAATTTAATACAAGTAAAAGTTTTGTCACTTAACTGATTGATGTTACCTTCAGCATTCCGATTCCAGAGTTTCGTAGATGGACCCTCCGGAATCACTCTGTCTACTCGTCAGGTGTATTGGCAATTGACTGCTTATACTTATTGATTTTTTATATGCGCTTTTCATTGGTGCGATTTTTCCCACGGTGTATATGTGTGTGCGTGTCTACGTTCGCGCACGTTCCACCATGCGCGTGTCTGCGCGTAGGTTCGTACGTGTAGAATGTGGTGGTCATTTTTCCTTTTCCTCATTTTTTTTTCTTTTTTTTTTTACTTTACATCCACTCCTTAACTTTTTCTCGCTTTTTATCTTTTTCCTCTTTTTTTTTTTTCAATTGTAGCCAACTTGACTTCCGGACCTGTCTTCAGCGGGTATCAGCCATTTACTTCTTATATTTTTTTTCCCCTTTTATGTACATTTAGCACTGGTGTAATTTTTCTTCTGTACTCTCTGCGTTTGTGCGCGCTTGTTTGCGCGCACGCGTGCACCTGTCTGCACAGATGTGCGTCGCGATCATTTTTTCGATTCTTCGTTTAGTTGTTAATATATATATATATATATATATATATATATATATATATATATATATATATATATATATAAAAAAAGAGAGAAACTGCAAACGTTTCTGGTCATAATGTGTATTTTTTTAAAATATATATTATATTTTATTTTCCATATTTTTGCTACACGAGTTTCGAATCTCGCGACCTTCATGAGGCAAAAATTGGTTGTTTCCACATATTATAAAAAGGAATTCATTTTCTTTACCTTTTCGATGCTTAACCATTGTCTTTTGCCTGTAGTAGTAGCCCAAATGTTTTACTTGAACTGATGACGAAAGTATTCTTCTGCTTAAGGAATAATAAAGCAATAAAAATTGGCCAGAGCAAGGGCCATAGAAGGAAGTCTTCGTTCTTATCGTTTTATGATCTCTCTATCTTCTTAGACCTATCTCTATTTTTGTGTATTGTGTGTGCGTGTGTGTGTTTTAGCTCGTATTTGCATGCATATTCCTTCTCCATAGATATATACTGTCTTATTATAAGGAATTAGCATATACATATTATATATAGCTGGTCACTCGTATTCGAGGAAACCTGTCTACTAAGGCGGCTAGCTAATCCCT